TACGACTTAGGCAGCTAGACCCGGAGGTGAGAGACCAAAGCCCTGCCTCCTGAAAAACTGAATTACAGACTTGCCCAGGTGTCAAGCCTGGTCTCCCAAGGCATGCTGGGGAGTTGCTGGGCAGTTAGTTAGTTGACTGATGGGATGAAGCCTCATTGGAATTCCTCCTGAGGCAACAGCAGGGCGAGCTGCGTCTGCGGGGAGGTCATGACGTGGGACTTTAACTGGATTGGTAGTGCTTAAATTCTTAAGCTGAAGGGGGAGCATAAGATATTAAAAGCATTTACTTTTATACTTTTTTGAACATTTGAACATTCTATTTCAAAATTTATTTTCAATATTTCTATAAAAGATCAAATGGTAAAAAGGAACTCCGTACACGTGTCCTAAAGTTCACGTAACTCTCAAGCACAGATCATCCTTCCGTAGTTGAGATGCAATTATGACACTGAGAGAACTCCGTGAACTTTTGTAGTCATAGGAGCAATGGTGAGATCAGCATCTAGCTCTGATTTAGTAGTTTTGCACTAAAGATCTGCTCTCTCTCTCTCTTTCTCTGTCTGTCGTTAAGGTTCTCAAAGTTATCTGCAAGAACTTCCAGTCAGGGGCTATGTTACTTTAAGGAGGTAGACACGTTCAAGGGCAGGGCTTTATTCTCCTTGAAAATGTAGTTCTTGCCCATATAGAGGAGCCATCATCTGGATGGACCAGAATATCCACCATGGATACTTAGAATCCTATCTGGTAAAAGAAACCAATTTAAAAAAAAGAAAAAATATTACGTAAATGGTCAAAGTAAAAACTGCACTGAAGTTGAAGACTTTAGTGAAGACTATTGCAATAGAGGAGGGAGGCCAGAACTCAATCTGAATGAACAGCGCTGAAACAAAGGGGTAGAGGGTTTTTAAGGCTTGGAGTGAGTTCCTGGAAAAGAACTGGATGGCCTTGGGCAGTGGTCAGAGGCCATTTGTGTTTATTAATACCCTTCTCATATCTTTCTGATAGGTGGTAAATTTACGACTTGGAGCAAGGTGCCCTCTGAAGTCAGGTGCCCCCGTCCCACAAAAATGGGGAGTGCTACCTTCTTTGATGATTGTATTTCAAAAGAATGGCTCCCAGGTCCTTGACAAAATGATCCTAACAAGAGGCTTTTAAAAAAGGTTTACGTCTTGAAGGGGAAGAGAAAGAACTTAAAATAAGTGTTCTAAAGAAAATACTCTAAAGAAAGGGAGAACAGGGTCTGAGAATCTGGAAGAATCTATTTAATGTTTAGTCAGTCTGAGGGAAATGTTAGGAATGTCTTGGCCAAAATACACCTCTAAGACAATCCTAGGCAGTGCGTTGGTTGGTTAGAGGGCCTCCTGATATGGCTAATATCCTTTACATATAATTGACTTAATCCCCACGACTAGTTATTATTGTGTTAATAAAGGAGGAAACTAAGATGTAAGTAGGGTAAGTGACCAGTGGGATGTCATCTAGCTTTCAAGTGAAGTCATCTCAGTTAGAATGTACGGGGAATGACTCAGGGCCACAACGTCTCATCCAGGCTGGGCATTGTCTCTGTCCGTCCACAGGATGGCTTTGCTGAAGGTTTTCTATTCTCTCTGTCCTCTCTCTGAGAAAGCAGAGCAAACAGTGAGTTTTCCATCCTCAATACTAGCCTGACCTCATATCATCTGGTCTTTATTTGAGTTATGTATTGAAGTATAAGATATGTACAAATAGGTGCACAAATCTTAAGTGTTTATCTTGAGAGAGAGAGAGACTGAATATACAAACAGACAATGGCTGGACCACATATAAAAACAGAACTCAATTAGGGAGTTTGGGCAGCCTGCCCCCCAAAACAACCCCTTTATCTATAATAACAGCCCAGGAAGACAGCCTACTATAAGTCAGTCTTACAAGAAGCCAGATTGTTATCTCTAGTGACAATTCAGGAAGCTAAACAACTTTTCTAACTATCGGTCCCCAGGACTTGATAAGTAACCGACAGCTTCTCTATTTTCTGTCCCTGCTTCCAACTTAGGACCAACTAAAGAAAGCCAAATATGCACCCCGAACCAATCGCACAGGATGCCCCGCCTTCACTTAGCCCACTTACAGCTTCCCCAAACAGGGGAAGCCTTCCCCTTTTCCCACTGTAAAGCTCTCCCACTCCTCTGCCTGCCTTTGAATCTTTGCCAAAACACAAAGGACAGATGCTGACTCTTCCACCATATAGCAAATTCTAAATAAAGAGCATTTGCTTTTCTCATTTGGTCGGTCTTTATTTCCACAGCCTTGATACGTGTATGTCTGTGTAATCACCACCCTGATCAAGATAAGGAAAATATACAGCACCCTAGAAGGCTTCCTGATCCCTTCCCCGATAATACGCAACCACCAACAACCCCACTAACAGCTACTACTCTGACTTCAAACATAATAGATTAGTTTTGCTCGTCCTTGAATGGAATGATACAAAATTAGTGAGATCATACAGTATGTATTCTTATACATGGAATCAAAAGTATGCACTCTTGGGTCTGGCTTATTTTGCCTGATATTTTGTTTATGAGATTCATCCACATTTTGCATATGGCGGTAGCCTTGTCTTTTTTCTTTCTGGGTTGTCCTCCTTTGGATGAGTATACCGCAACTTTATTTATTCACTTTACTGTTGATGGATTTGGGTGGCTCTTCATTTCTGGAATTTTATGAATAAAATTGCAAGGACCATTCCTTTTTTTTTTTTATGTTATATTATTCACCATACATTACATCATTACTTTTTGATGTAGTGTTCCATGATTCATTGTTTGCGTGTAACACCCAGTGCTCCATGCAGTACGTGCCCTCCTTAATACCCATCACCGGGCTAGCCCATCCTCCCATCCCCCCCCCAGAACCCTCAGTTTGTTTCTCAGAGTCCATCGTCTCTCATGGTTCGTCTCCCCGTCCGATTCCCTCCCCTTCATTTTCCCCTTTCTACTATCTTCTCTTTTTTTTTTAACATACAATGTATTATTTGTTTCAGAGGTACAGGTCTGTGATTCAACAGTCTTACACAATTCACAGCGCTCACCATAGCACATACCCTCCCCAGTGTCTATCACCCAGACACCCCATCCCTCCCGCCCCCCAGCACTCCAGCAACCCTCAGTTTGTTTCCTGAGACTAAGAATTCTGCAAGGACCATTCTTGAATGGGTTTTCACTGTAGTCACCACTCATTTCTCTCAGGTATTACTTCGAAGCGGAATACTGAGTCATAGAGTAAGTATGTGTTTAGCTTTAGTAGATACTTTCAAATAGTTTCTCAAGATGATTGTATCATTTTGCATACATGAGGGCTCAGGTTGCTCCACAACCTTGCTAGAATGGGATAGTGTCCCGTCTTGTATGTTTGCCATTCTGGAAGCTGTGTATTATGATCTCATTGTAGTTATATACATCTTTCTGTTTTGGGGTTTTGAAACAATGTCATAATACCTCAACAGCTATTTCTGCTTAGAGAAGAAATAGCTATTTTACAGTAACACAGATCTGGGGGCAAGGATTAGATGTAGTATTGATCTCATATTTAAATACTGTTGACCAAGCCAAAATAAGAAATAAGCAACCAAGTCGCCTAGCTTGTTTTATTTACTAAAATTCATTTCTACCACTAGTGCCATGTATGTGGGGCTAGCGATTTGGAATAATCTCCCCTACTTCCTGGCCTTGTGCAGGTTACCAATCCTGCTTTAAGCGTTTACCCCTAGTCCTAGAGGGCATTTAAGGTGTCCGGGGCTATGGGCTGTAGCTAAGTACCGGGAACAAAGCCCCAGAGGCAAGCCTCTACAAGTGAAGCTTGGTCTTGCCTCACTGTGTAAATCATTAAAGGCAGACATGAATGTCTGTCAGTTTGTGGAACTTGTGGGTCCCACTTTACTTAAAGATAGATTAAGATGCTGATGACAACACGAACCGGATTTTCTGGCTGCAGAATGAAGGGTTGGCCTTGGTTATCCCTCAAGTCCTTCCACCTGAAGCCCCAGGGTCTGCCTCTCCAGTGTCAGCAGCGTGGGGCCCCAGGTTCTGTGCATTACGGCTCTGCCCTTCCCTTTCCAGGCTGAGGGAAATGTGTTGACTAAACATTCTGCTGTTCTTTGTCCCAGCCACATACAGAAGGGAATCCCCACTTATTTCCTAGAAGGAGGCACAGCAGAGACTGGACCTTATTTTTACACCCGCTCTGGAGCAATCTGTTGGGGGTGGCAGAATCCAGTTCTCCGCGGCAAAGTAAGCAGACGACGACGGCCATACGGTATTATGGCAATTGCTCACAGAAAATACACATCCATGGATTTGGAGAAAGCTGGAGATGGTTAGGTGTGCTAAGTAAGGGCTTGCGGGGTTAATGCAGAGGTGGCGTGGGGCCCTTTCCCTCCACCATCCTCTTAGCCTCCAGGGAAGGCTCTGGAAGCACCCTTGTGGAGGCTGAAGTGAAGGCAGCATGGGAGGTTTCTGAAGAGCCTGTGTAACACAATCCCTGCATATCTTTTCAGTCAGAATTGGGATCCTCGGGTCCCCTTCCCCGCAAGGCTTCCTGGGCTCACCGTGAGGGGAGGCTGAAAGATTCCCTCCACTCGAAGCCGGTGCAGCTGGCTCACAAGGCTGGCGGCTGGGCCCTGCAGGCAAGCTGACCCCTGGGCTCACAGCCCCATTTTAACTGCAGCTAATGACACCCCCAGGCTCCAGAATTCTCAATTCTCCCGGCGGCAGTGGCCTGGGTGATTCTAAAGCTCAAGTGTAAATCTTGGAAGATGACTCATGCCCTCCTCTCTTGTCTCAGCATGGTTAGTACCTAACAGCCTTACCCACAGGTCGTCATGCAATGCAAGGGCTTGGTGGGGCTCCGGAGGAAGGCCTACGGGTCAGGCCTCAGGTTGTGCCACAAACACTTGCTTATGCAGCTGGGTGCTCAGGCTGTAACTACTCTGGAAATGTCTAGTGCTTGCTCGGGGCATAAAGGGTAACTGGGATCTTGGTGGAGTCCCAGCTGTTTGTGGGGCTTGCCCTGCTAAAGTCACAGCCCCGGGACACTCCAAGGCTCCTGAATACCAATGATTACAGTGTCAGCAGCGGGGAAATACACCCCGGGTGGCCGGAACCGTGCTGCCTTCTCAACTCATTCACCGAGATTCCAGGAAATTACAGCTGGTCCCAGAGAGGCGTGTACGAGCACCATGATGTCAGCCTTGTTGGTAGGGGCAGAAGTACAAGTGACCTTAATGTCCAATGGCTACATAAACTGAGACACAGGTGCAGGATAGAGCCATGTGTGACAATGAAGAAGAAGGAGGTAGACCTGCATGTACTGACATGGAAATAGCTCTTAGATAGATTCAGTTTTTTTAAAAATAGAAGTGTTGGGGCACCTGGGTGGCTCAGTTGGTTAAGCGGCTGCCTTCGGCTCAGGTCATGATCTCAGGGTCCCGGGATGGAGCCCCATGCCCTGTGTCAGGCTCCCTGCTCAGCAGGAGTCTGCTTCTCCCTCTGCCACTCCCGCTGCTTGTACTCTCTCTCGCACTCTCTCTCTCTCAAATAAATAAATAAAATCTTAAAAATAAATAAATAAAATAAAACAGTAGAGGTGTTAGACTGGTGCCATAGCTCACCAAATCTACAAATCTAAGCCAAGTGTTTTCTGAGGATAGACATATGTGTATAAATACATAGGAATGGGTCAATCATGAAATACACCAAATCAATAACAATGGGACCTCTCTAGATAAAAGTGGACTGGGGAGAGGATGATCGGAGGACTTCAGTTTTATTTGTATTGCCTTGACTTTTTTCTTTTTTTACAATGAGAATGTTTATATACAGGCTGTGTCATTACAGTAATTTAAAAAAAGCACTAATAAACAAAATGCAACAAAGATTCTATAAGAATGCACAAAATGTTTTTTTTAATCCTACATAATGATAGTCCGATCCACCTCACCAGAGTCCAAGGCTTCGGAAGGTGGTATTTTAAAAATATGAACTTTGGGTATGCAGGCAAGTCCTTATTGCTATCGGGTATATCTTTATGTGTATTTAGAGCCCATTAAAGGACATCTGCACAAAACGTTTTTAATACTAAATATGTAACAAAGACGTAGATAGTTCCCATCTATGGGACTGCACTAATCGAGAAAGTACCTGGTGGGTACTGGCACCAGGCATGGGGAAGTAGGCAGCGTCACAGTGTGCTATTGACGAGAGTGCGGATTGGTACAAACTCGTTGAAGGGCACCTAATCATCTAAATAATTGGAAATACTAATCTCTTTGACCTAACACTTTCCCTGCCTGGCATTTACCCTACATGAGTGTACAAAAACACATATTAAAAAGCACTCATCACAGCATTGTTTTAAGAGCAAAATCCTAGAACCGTCCTGAATGTTCATACACTTATGGCGTGGGCACTGGTGGGTCAGGGGCAATAAAATGTATAAGTGAGGATGGATGTGAGGTGGTACCAGTTTGATCTAGTGACTTCTGCAGTTGGACAGGGGCGGGGCAGTGATAACCCTGCGTCTCTAACGTGGACAATAACGTGGATGGTTAGGCATTAAGCTAAGGCTAGCAGAAGGTGTTTGTGGAGTTATTTGGGTGAAGATATCTAGTACATATAGTTAATTCGGGTGCTTGTGTGGAGAATATGAATCTGTTGGAGGAAGTGTGGGGTGAGGATGGGGGCGGTTGTCAAGAAGAGAACAAGAAGGAATGAGGATTTAAAAGAAGTTGAATAGTGAATAAAAGAATAAAATAAGAATAAAAGGGTCAGCCACACTTGTGTGTTCTACAAACTGGAGTTCTAAGACTTGAGAAATTGTGTAACTGAAGTGATTAAGGCTACAGAGTTTTAGGGGACTGAAGTATGATTTGAACTCAACATTGCAGGGCAATATTCTTTAAGCCAAAATGCCCTTGTTATCATAATGTGTGATTAGCAAAAAGACTACCGATGTAATGAGCCAATGTAATAAAATTCCTTGAAAAGTCAGAATTGTCAAATATCAGTGTCTGACAAGTCCCTGTAAATTCTGTAAAATGGGAATAAAGTAGTAATATGCATTTACTAATGTAGATATTAATGTATGAACCAAGTGCCATATAAAAAAAAATCTCATTTAGTCCTTGTCAAATCCTTCAAGGTGGTTGACTTCTATCCCCATACTATAGATGGAGAAGTGGAGGCTCAGAAAGATTGAGTGGCTTACCCAAAGCCACAACACTGGTGGGTAAGAGAGCTCTCATAGAAACTCCTGCCTACAGGCTCTTCAAAATGTTTTTCTTGCCATCTTGTCTGCCTTTGGGGATAATAGTACCTACCTCTCTACCTCAGAGATTGTCTTCAATTTCAACCTGGGCACCCAAGAATTTGTCTTTTGAAGCGGTACCCTAATGATTCTGATGGAGGTAGTCCATGAATTATACACTGGGTAACAGTGTTTTATGTGTTTTGAGGATAATAAACCATGTCATTCTTACTAAATATAATGGTACTTGTTATTTTTGATTCTATGAGACTTTTCTTGGAAGGGACAGGTCAATTTCAATCTAAAACCCTGAACGAACAGTGTGTGTGTATGTGTGTGTTTACTGCATTTACGGGTGTGTGTTTACTGCATTTACGGGTGTGCCTGGGTTTCGATCTCCTCCTCAGTGACATCAGGCGTGGCCAGCGCACTGGGTAATAGCCTTACTCATGCAGCTGAATGGCTTTTCTAAGAACCATGTAAGTTACAGGCTTGCTTCCTCCTCATTTCTTAGGCATCAGCAGTAAACGGCTCGGTGTCTGTGGCTGGATCCTCTTTTCCCTTTCTTTGTTGCTGATGATCGTTACCTTCCCCATCTCCATATGGATGTGCTTGAAGGTAACACCCTGGGAAATAAATTGGGCTCTCTCTGTGAGCTGATGAACCATTAGGACTAAATGCTCTCCCTTAATCTCTTAGATCATTAAGGAGTATGAACGTGCTGTTGTATTCCGACTGGGACGCATCCAAGCTGACAAAGCCAGAGGGCCAGGTAAGACAGTGTAGCTGTCCCTGACAAGGATCATGGCCACCTAATACTTAACTGTTGCCGCTGAGAAATTTTCCCCGGCAGCCACTTTTGAGAAGCAAAGAAAAGTCACAGGAAGCTGGAGCCCTTACCTGTCTGTACAATGGAAAGAAAGATGTTGTTCTGTTAGGCAAGTGAACAGGAGTCACCGCTAGACCTCTAGTTTGAGAGGCTGGAAATCCAGCCCTGTTTCCTAGCATTCCCCCTGAGAGAGTCAGTGAATGGGAGCAAAGCGCAGCTCTGTTACATTGGCCGGACGTCCCTTATTATCAAGACCACTAGAAGAATGACTGAAGAATGAAGGGAGGGAGTAAATGGCCAAGGTAGACGATTAAGTTACTCAGAGAGAATATTCCGGGAGCTGGTTTTTGATTCTCACCCTTTGAAAAGAGCTAATGGAAAAGTAAAAGGTAGTTTCTTCTCCTGGCAAGTAGACTAATGGAAATAGAGAGCTGGAATCTATCGCACAACTCCTTTGGTCAAATGTAGTGTTTCTTTCCATGCTTTCTCTACCTTAGAATGAAGACTGTTCCAAATTCTTCATGTTATAAGAGGATGGGATTTTGTGGGGGTGGGGAGTGGACATGGGAAGGTGTTAGGTACTAAAACTCTAGACGTTAGGTATTGATTTAATTCTCATAACTTCTCTTGGTGTATATGTAGTTGAACAATATGAAATTGCTAATATTTTTTTTTGATTTGCAAGTATGACAATTTCATATGATAAATTCTAATATTTTAGAAGCAGAGGCCATCAAAAATAGCATCTTACAAGATACATGAGAAAGAATGGTTATCTGCAATAGTTCTTTAATAACATTTGTTTTCTGCCCTCTATTATGATGTATTTGAGTAAACACATTCTCTCTCCAACTGGACTATAAGCTCTCTGCAGGGCAAGGACTTTCTTAGTCACTGTGATCCTGCATGTGTTCTACCCTTGGCCATGCACTATGGTAGGCACTTAAATATCTGTTGCATTAAAAAAAAAAAATATATGAGAAATTTCAAAAGCAGAAGCTTGTTAAAGAGGCTTTGTCGTTTCAAGTAGTATAATCCTACTTGTCTAATTTCATAAAAGACCTGAGGGGAAAGAGTGCAAGAATGACTTATTATGGATACTCTTATGAGTTCATCCAAATAGAAGTGTTAGACTGATCCAACTGAGGTACAACAGACCAAGGTTGACCCCTTCCAGGTCATGTTGCATCTGGTGGGGCCAAGCTTCTAATTAGAGTAAAACTGGATTTGAGAGAAGTAGACTAGCCATAACTTGGAGGGCTCTAGAGAAAAGTGGATCTCTTTTAAATGAATTTTCCCAGAAGATTTCACCACTAAATGTCCCAGGATAACTACTCTCGTCATACATGTCTCTGGGGCTAATGAGTTACCTCAGAAAGCCGTAAGAGCTAGAGAGAAGCAAGCCAAATTGCTAATGGAAAACCTCTCCACTTTTGTAAATTGTAAATTATTCTTTAATAATGAAAGTATTAATAATAAGTGGTGCCACTTCTTGAGCAAGTAATACATACCTGGCACTGTGTTTAGTACTTTATTTCATTATCATGTTGAATCATGCTTAATCTTCACTACCATCTTCTAGAGATTAACTAACTGAAGCTCAGGAAAGTTATGAGAGTGTTCCCAGGTCACAAGCTAGTAAGGGTGAGGGCTAGGACTTAACCCTCTAGTTTTAGGGGCCAGGACCTCAACCAGTGACCTGACACCAAATAAGGAAGTAAATTAAGCAGCCATCCTCACTACAAGTCTCAGGAAAGTTGAGAGACCAAAAGAAAGAAAGCACCTTAGCAGTGTTTTCCTTTGATGTTACCAGCCCTTTGTAAGGTATGCAACCTACAAACCCGTTTCCTCTTTGAAAACAAAAACAACAGCACAAAATCTTTCTGGTGAATGGAAATGGATAGGGGTCCGCATCTTGCTGACATGCTTTGTGGTTCTAATCTTGGTGACTCTTGCTGTAGAGAACATTCACCAAGCTTATGGCAGGGATTCATGCATGGGGTCTTCAACTGAATTTTCTTATCCCCATCCTTCCCCCCCCCAGCCCCAAACCCAAATACTTCACAATTCAAAAAGAAGTAAGAGTGTTTATAATTGGGGAATGCCATTATACTTGAACTAGGACACAGCTCTGGAGAAACAGCAAATTCTGAAATACATTGCCTTTAGGGACTCTGAAATCTTGCGAAGATTTGGCTTCCACTATTTTTTCGGTACTATTGAAGATGAATGAGAATGTTGACAGTCATTGATATTTAAGGGTAAAAATCTATTACTTAAATCTTTTGTATGAATATCTTTAATAAGGACACCGATTTCCAAAATATCCTTTTAAATTAATGTCAAATTCAACACTTGGATAGAAGTAGGTTGAGTGTTTTAAAAATAAAATCTAAAAATTAAATGTCAAGGGTCTTAAGCTCTCTACCACAAGATTTTAATTTCTAGGGAACCACTTTTCTTTAGTCACTGACTAGTAGGAAGAACTAATTTTCCCCAAAGTTAGAGGTGTTCATATTGAAGATCCTCTGAGAAGCATTTGTAGTCCCTTGAAAATAATGTATCATATAGTTAGGAGACAATTTGTTGCAGTTAGTTTCAATAGGGTAAAAGTAGGGTAAAATTCATATTTTCTCTCTCATAGGTTTGATCCTGGTCCTGCCCTGCATAGATGTATTTGTCAAGGTTGATCTCCGAACTGTTCCTTGCAACATTCCTCCACAAGAGGTAATGCCAGTTAAAGATATGTCATTAGAAATAAAACCTGTTATCTCCCCTGTTTCACGGACAGTTGATGTTTTACATTGTGTTTTCAAATTACAAGGGACCTGCTTGAGGAGCCCTGGGTGGGTCCTAAAACTACTGAGTTTTGCTTTTCCCATTAAGAATGAAGCCAAGGGCAAGGGCTGGCTTGCTCTAAGACTTGGAATGACTCAGAGGGGAAAGTCCCAGAGAAGATAGAGAAAAGACGCAGTTGGCAGAGAAGCTGGGATGGAGAGCAGCAGCCAAGATGCTTGGGAGAGTCAGCTGAGTCGTTGTATAAAGGAGCTGAATTTAATTTGGTGGAGGGTAGGGTTTGGTTAGGATATTATCCTTGCTGTCACCTTTCCAGAAGATTTTTTAGTAAAATCTCTATCATTCACTTTTTTGTGTGTGATTGGATGCAACACAGTGGGTGGGTGTAAGGAACGAGCACAAGAGCCCACCTGCTTTTGGATTTCAAATAATTCTTTTCAGTTCTTAAAGTATTGTAACTAAATATCCAAGGCCAATAACAGGACAATAGGGAAGAGAAACAGTTACTAAGAACCAAAACAATGAAAGGAAATGTGAGTAGGGCCTACAATGTGGGAGGGCAGAGGTGATGAGAGGATTATGAGTCGATGTTAATTTTCTTCTCTCTGGTCCAGGAAACTCAGTCATGACCCAACAATCACGTCGCCATGTCACTGGTGGGAATTACGGAGTCCTTACTTTAGGAGTCAGCCTGTGTCGTAAGAGAGTTGGAGATGCTTAGTGACCTATCATGGGCCTTTTCTGGCCTCAGAGTCCACCATTCTGGATGGGAGAAGGGAGCTCTAGGTTCTGCTCCTACGGTCCTGCCAGAGAGCTCTCAGTGGCTGCAAAGCACCTCGTCTCATTATTCAGAATGATTAATGCAAAACCTCGATGAAAGCAAATAGATTTCTCTTTATGTGAATACAGAGCCCGGTCTCTGGTGACATCTATGTTTTCTAAGAAGCACTGCTGTTCATCAAATCTGATAAAAACTGAAAACCAAAAAGATTTCAGGTATCAGGGCAACAAGTGTTCTATCTCTGTGTAGAAGGTAGAATTCCACAAAGTTTCTACTTGCCACATTTTAAAATAGAAGTGCTTATGCTCCCCATGGCATATCAAGAGCCTCTGCCTGTGGGGTCTAAGACTTGCCTAAGATGAAGTTGCAGGGCTGGATAGGGATTTTGTCACCACCTAGGATGACATTATACTCGAGCCAGGGCAGAGTTTGGGTGATGCTGGCATGAACTGTCATGAATGCTCTCCTCCGGGGGAGAGGGCTCTTAGGCTGGCTGACACTTTGTCAGTCACTGTGACAGTCATAATAAACATGCGATTTTCCCTGTCTTTGCTCTCCAGATCCTCACCAGAGACTCCGTGACTACTCAAGTGGACGGAGTCGTCTATTACAGAATCTATAGCGCTGTCTCAGCAGTGGCTAACGTCAACGATGTCCACCAAGCCACATTTCTGCTGGCTCAGACTACTCTAAGAAATGTCTTAGGGACGCAAACCCTGTCCCAAATTTTAGCTGGCCGAGAAGAGATTGCCCATAGCATCCAGGTAAAGATGCTGAGAACAAATAGCCTGTGTCTTTAGTTCATTTATTTTAATTATCAGTGATGATCAAATATCAGTAGTTCAAAGAATCCCTCTCCCGTGCATGCACGTGCGCGTGCACACACACACACACACACACACACACACACAGAGCTGCTATAAACACTTGGCTTCAGTTTGTGGTTTTATTCCTTTACAATCACAAGGTATAGATTTAAATATCTGAGCAGGAGAAGGGGAGGTGTAGGAATTGTACAGCTCACCCGTTTTCTTTGAAATTCAGCACATGAGTGAGCATTGTACACAGTAGCCTTTTCTGAAGAGGTTAGCATCATTTTAAATTCGGGTTACTCGAGAAGAAAGGTCACCATTTCTCAGACAGCCCGTGTATTTCTACATGTCAATGGAATATTAGAACAGGATTCAACCAAGACATCGCAGGCCTGCCATCCCTGGAAAATCTGACATGGTGCCACCTATATCAGTAATTATCGTGATAGTAATCATAATACATGAATAAAATCTTTAAAAAAGTAATCAGAATATTGATGAGGATGTTGCAGGTATCCATCTCAACCCTTGTACACCCCAGTTTATAGACAGTTACATTTCTGTGTGGTCCTAAATCAAGAATGTTTTGATTCTGAGCCTCCCTGCTGTACGTTAGGAGGGAATTTCAGCTTTGGTCCTTGGCATCTCTTCCAGCGCTTAATGTGGCACAAAGACCCTAAGGCTTTCTGAGATAGTGTTGGTGCTATGTAACTCTCCATATGATTTGTAAGAGCCCCATAAGTTTGACAGCTCCGATGTTTCCCCTGCCACAGTCCGGTCACCGGCCTCTCGGGAGGTCTCACCGTCTCCCACAGTTCTCTAGAAATCGTAGACAGGCACGCGATCGCTTGCCATTTGGCAGTGGGGGTCTCTGCCCCAGGCCTCGGAGGGAACTAGCCGTCCGATCTCACTCTTTGCAAAGCATTCTTTTTCACCCTTCTCTCTGCAGGATAACCAACAGGACATCCTCAGTGGTCTGCAGTTTTTAAAAGGACAAGCATATCTTTGATTTTAGGCTATGGTGCTCTCAAAAAAAAATATGCCTGGCTACCTGTTTAAAACTGGCCACAAGACAGAGGTTCACTAGGGCAAGGCACAGAGTATCTCAACAAGTACCCGATAATATTTATTGAGTTATTGCAAGGAATTGGTAGATCTCTTACGTGTATTATCTCCAAATCTCATGAAAATCCTGAAAGGAAACGTTTATAGGTGAGAAAACAAAGAATCAGAGAGGTTAAGGAACTGGCCCAGTGATTCACGGCTGCAAATGGCAGAGCCAGGACAAAATCCAGGAGTATCTGAGAAGCCCATGCATTGCTGCTGGCTTAATGTCAATGACAAGAAAATGTGGGGTATTTGCTCAACTCCAGAGGGATGGCATATACTTCATTAGGAATAGTTTGGGGGTGAGTCCTGATACCTCCTGAAAGATCTGTCAGGTTCTCCTTCTTTTTTTTTTTTTAAAGATTTTATTTATGTATTTGACAGAGAGAGACACAGTGAGAGAGGGAACACAAGCAGGGGGAGAGGGAGAGGGAGAAGCAGGCCCCCGAAGGAGCAGGGAGCCCGATGCGGGGCTCGATCCCACGACCCCGGGATCGTGACGCGAGCCGAAGGCAGACGCTTGACGACTGAGCCACCCAGGCGCCCCCAGGTTCTCCTTCTGAATCCTTCCCGGGATTCCCTTCAATTCCTGGGAGTGATCAGTAAGAACTCCCTTTCCCTTCCCTAGTTGTCTCACTCCAAATGCTGTGAATACAAAAGGAGAAGAGGAAGAGGAATTTATCTTGCAGATATAAAGCACATCAGAACCTTACATCCTCTGTCCTCTGACCGATGCCTTTTCTTTTGATCTGGAAACAGACCTTACTTGATGATGCTACCGAGCTGTGGGGGATCCGGGTGGCCCGGGTGGAAATCAAAGATGTCCGGATTCCGGTGCAGCTACAGCGGTCCATGGCAGCGGAGGCTGAGGCCACCCGGGAAGCCAGGGCCAGGGTAAGAAACACTCTGTCTGCACTGGAAGGCAAGATGCCTAGCTTTGAAGCAGACAAAAATAGACCTTGAATGGAAGATCAGGCCTTCTCAACGATTTTGATAAGAAAAGGGTTTCTTTTTCACAGTTTTTTTTAATTTTTTTTAAAGATTTTATTTATTTATTCATGAGAGACAGAGGGGGAGAGAGAGAGAAGCAGAGGGAGAAGCAGAGGGAGAAGCAGGCTCCCAAGGAGCAGGGAGCCCGATGCAGGACTCGATCCCAGGACCCTGGGATCATGACCTGAGCCGAAGGCAGACGCTTAATCATCTGAGCCACCCAGGCGCCCTCTTTTTCACAGTTTTTACTGAGAATTTCCTCCTGAATTAAAAGGCAATGGGCAGCTTAATGTACTTTGAGGAAGTAGGGCAACAGGTCTTGGGACAGGGGCTGCTCAGCAACATGCCCAGTGACTTAGCGAGGTGGATTCCAGGTCTGGCTGCGTTTCAGTCCCCTAGAGATAACTCAACATAGCAAACACTAATTCTCAGGCCTCACCTCACACTCGGTGAAGCTGAGTCTCTTGTGGCTCAGGAATCTACATTTGTATAAAGCTAGTAATTTTGCTTTTTTTTTTTTAATTATTGGAGTATAACTGACCGACAATGCTAGGTTAGTTTCAGGTATACAACATATTGCTCTGACAATCCTGTACATTACTCAGTGCTGTACATTGCTCAGTACTCATCACAGTGGGTGTAGTCACCCTCTGAAAGCTGGTGATTCGGCGGTAGCCAAATGGTGCCCATCTTTTGAACATTACTGTTGCATGTGTTAAGTGTGCTGGATTCACAATCCAGGTTAGAATGACAAACCGTAAACATACGCTGGTCTCGAATGTTCTTGAGTCTGTTGGACCTACAGCCTTCTGCAGGACCTATAGCCATGTCTGCGGGGATGGGTTTCCTGGAGTATCAGAAACGAAGGAAGATGAGAAGCCTTTTGCGTACGCAACTCAGAATCTTCCTGAAGAATCGATGAGTCTTCCTGCCCTCCTCCCTTCCCCATCTCTGGTTTATTTGTGAAGCTCCAGCAGCTTCTCGGCAGTGGACTTGGAGGGCACTTTGGCACAGAGGCAGTGAGTGCCCACGGCTGGGGCAATCGGGGTGCAAATCCGTCTTGGGCAGGAGAGAACTAGACGGGGAGCCAGCACTTAAGAGAGCCTTCCAATGGGTGTTCTCAGACCCGCACTTGCTGCTCCTGGTAATCAAGAGCAGAGAGAACTTGAAATAGTCCTTACATTGTAAGGATGAGGCTAAACTGGCAACAGAATAAAAGGAAAAAACATCTCCTAGGATAAGTAAGGACAACAGAGAGAAGCCAAGCAGAGGCCTTGAATTTCAAATTTCTGTGAAAGCTAACGCAGGAGGATGGGGAGGCTCCGGGGTGATCGGCCAGCATCACTAGGGCACAGACCGCCCAGGATTTGTTGGGGTTAAAGACGGTGCTTTTATTTTGTTTGCAAAGGAAATCTAGGGACTCATAATTTGTAAAAATATCTCCCCGCCTCCTTCAACCTCCTCAAATTCCCCTAATCACATTAGGATGTGAAAATCTCACCCTCGTCAACGCAGTAACTCCATGAAACCCACAGGCAGGCAGGCATCGGGACGCAGCCAGAAAAAAGAGATCCTTAGTCACCGTTGTAAGCTTTTCTTTCTGAGCTCTTTTATTTCTGCCGTTTCAGGTCCTTGCAGCGGAAGGAGAAATGAATGCTTCCAAATCTCTGAAGTCAGCCTCCATGGTGCTGGCCGAGTCTCCCATAGCCCTGCAGCTGCGTTACCTGCAAACCCTAACCACCGTGGCCACGGAGAAGAATTCCACCATCGTGTTTCCTCTGCCCATGAATATCCTGGAGGGCATTGGTGGTGTCAGCTACCATAACCAACAGAAGGTTCCGAACAGAGCCTGAGGTCCTCCTGCTGTAGTCAGCCATTGCTTGGGGGAGCTGTTTCTATCTCTCTGGAGAACCCAGCACTCAGAAGTGCTGAGAGTTGCAACATTACTGAAACAGAGGGACGCTGCAGCTGGAGTAGCATTAGCGGGGAAATGCCGTAGAGGCTACAAAAAAAAAAAAAAAAAAAAGAGGGCTGTGTACTACTTTTATTATTCAAGAACATAAACAACTGTGCATTATCCTTTTTAGTCTGTTAGCAGGCGTTCCTGACTTGAGGCAGGAACTTTCTTGCAGTAGGGGGAGGAAATCTTTGGGTGACAGTGACTAAGATTTCAGCATTATTTTTGATTGGTTTTAAGAAGCTCTCTAGATAATTTATAAAGTAACATAGGCCTCCTATTTATACTAGATATTTGCTTTTTATAATTCCCAAGTAACTATTTGCTATATCTCCAATAATTACAATCCCCCCCCCCCCCCCCCCCCGTATTTGAAATTCTGATTGATTTTCATGTGAAAGGCTGAAGAGGCACCTAGGCTTCAGTGGCAACTGTAAACTCATCACCAACCCCCAGGGCAGACTGCTTCCCTCTCTCTTGCTGCCCAGCCTCCTGCCTGGAACAGTGGCCAATGCTCAGCCTCCCCGCACCTTCGTCAGCGGCTGGGACAGGGCAGAGCGCTTGCAAGTGAGAATGATGCTTATAACAGGTTCTGTTGGTTGGAATCACTGGGGAACATCATCCTGTGGACTTCATGTTTTCACGCCATTATTAGTCCCAAGAGCCACCAGTAGTCAAGAATTGTTTGTAAACACTATTCACCCCCTCCGAAAAAACCCCAACTGTTCAAAATAAAGAAGCCATAGAATAGAATACAGATGTGATGTATTTTAAAAATTGCTTTGTCAGAGATTTTTTTTGTTGCCATGGTACAATTTTCTTTTGGGAGTTCCATTTTGAGCAAAGGGCTAGGATTTTTGTTACCGTTTATTGAATGTCGGCTATGTGTTAACACCATGCTCAGCCCTTTATGGATGCCAAGAAGTATCTTTATTTTGCAGATGAGAAAGTGATGTCAAGAGGTTGAATAACTTGCCCAAGATCCTGCAGCTAGTTTTGGGTTAGGATTTAAAACAAGGTCTGACTCCAAAGTCCTTGCTCTTAAACATCATCGAGGTTTACTTGGGGCAGGTGGGAGGGGGTGGGGATAGAGCCCTCCCATTCCATTTTTGCCTTTCAGGTTCTGGAAGTGTGGGGACCCACTATAGTTTTTCATTGTGTCCAGGACTATGAGAGCACGCACACACATGTGCACACGCTCCCCACCCCTCATGGTCCTTGCACACGGCACATGTACTTCCTATATAATCCCCCACCCTCACATTCCCCCCCCCACACCCCCAGCTCTGCTCACATCCCCTCCATATGTTCCCCTCACACACATCCTGTATAGGTATTAGCTGCATATAAATGTAAAACAGGGATCACATTCTGCCTTTGTTTTTTTTGTTTTGTTTTAAGATTTTATTTATTTATTTGTCAGAGAGAGAGAGAGAAAGTGTGAGTGAGCAAAAAGCAGAGGGAGCGGAAGGCAGAAGGAGAAGCAGGCTCCTGGCGAGCACGGAGCCCGATGCGGAACTCGAACCCAGGACCCTGGGATCATGACCTGAGCCAAAGGCAGATGCTTAATTGACTGAGCCACCCAGGCATCCCTGCCTTTGGTTTTGTAACCTGCTTTTTCTCATGAAACCGTATCATACTTGATATGAATTCTGGACAATTCACAGTTAATAAATTTTTTAGTAGATTCTAATGACTCTATAACGTTAGCACTCATTTTTAACTCACTGAAGTTCATATTTTTCCTTATAAGCTAAATACTTGCATTTTAACAAAAACTGGGAATGGAAACCTATCACAGTTCACCCACACCAGCCAGAATCTGAGTCGATGAAGTCACACCATGTAGACGCTTAGCCAGTGACCGTACATCTGATGAACAGTGAGTGGTGCAGAGACTGACCACAGGCTTGGACCCTGAGGGTTACCTGAGGGGTAGGCCCTACTTGTACAAGGACATTTTGTGAGCGCACTTCCTACCCTGTGCCAGAAACCCACACTTATTACTTCTTTTGGTTTCCAAGATTGCACTAAAAATGCAAATCTTTCCTGTCAACGTACAGCAAACTCTAAACCAGTGGTTCTCTCTGAAGATCATGGTTCTCTCACTCATTAGAAACTCTTTTTTGAAACACACAGCCCACTGGCATTCCCCTAGGGCCATCCCCCTAGGGTGGGAATAGGGTGTGAGAGCTGATTCAGAATCTCTGGGGCTGTGCAGATGTGTTTTTTTGCTTGCCTGTTTGTTTTTAAATTGCGTGTTTTCCATTTTTTTAAAGATTTTATTTATTTGAGAGAGAGAGCACACATGAGTTGGGGGAGGGGCAGAGGGAGAGGGAGAAGCAGACTCCCTGCTGAGCAGGGAGCCCGAAGAGGGGCTCCATCCCAGACCCAGGGATCATGATCTGAGCCAAAGGCAGATGCTTAACCTACTGAGCCACCCAGGTGTCCTGTGCAGATGTGGTTTGAAAGCTCTCTGAGAGATTCAAATTACTACATCCCTCCTGCATTAAGCCTCATTAATTCTTTAGGATTGCGATAGGTCATTTAATATATCAGTTACTAAGGGCTGACTAAAGAAATCTCCTTTGAAGAGAAGTATTTTGGGGGGTGAATGGCATAGATGAATCAGGGAAGGTCACAGCTCTCCTGGAATGTGACTGCTAAAGACGATATTCAAAACACAGTCATAGGGTGATAGAGTGAGATTTGTTTTTCTTCTGGGGAGGAGGGTAGCTGGAAGGGCCAGGCGGAGGAAATAGCAGACAACTCGTAGAGAGAGGGAGGCATCTGATCTCTTTAGATGCAGGCTTGGATCACCTTGGATCACCGTAATCCCCAAAAAGATTTAAGCTAGCACAGATGACCCCTGCTGGTGCTTTTCCTGTTTTAGCAGCGTGTATGGTGTGTCATTGATCGGAGTGCCCTGGCAGGGTTCCCCAGGTGTCCCCGGCTTTGATTGCCCTTTAGATGCTGGGCCAATACAATCATATTGCACCCACTGGTCCCTAGGTGCATTTGGCTGTGCCTGACCTTGGAACAGGGATCCCTGGAGAGGTGATCTCTTTCCAAAGTCTTAAATGGGAAATGGTAGGGAAGGGGCAAGATCCTCCTTTCCTCTTGCTGTAATCCCTGCCCACCCCCAATCAGCGTCCCAGTCTCCCAGCCTCCCCCTGTCTCAGCCTGCCTTTCCCACAATCCCTTGCTACTAGAATAGGTAAGCCTTTACCCATTTTACCTTTCTCTTCCTGTCAGGACTTCATTACACAAAATCTGACTCTGATTTTCAAAGTCTTTGTTCTTACTGCTCTGATTTTGGGTATAATTAAATACTCTGGGCTCCAGATAAAAGATCCCGGCTCTTCTTCTGGAGTCTACTTTAACTCTGCCCCTAAGATTCAAAACAGGCTAGCCAGTTCCTAGAGATTTGTGCCTTTCATAGGCAAACTAAACAATCCACAGCCCCTACCCGCAGCTGCCATCTTTATCTGCCTCCCACTCTCTGGGCTACTATCCAACTGCCCAGTCCCCCAAGTGCCAGGTACCAGACAACTAGGGAGAGCCCTATGCCCTAGACCCCATTGAAATTACTCAGATCGGCTAATCCTCAACCTGTTTACCCCACCTTGGCTGTTTCTGCTCATGGAAACTACAAGAAAGGCTCTTGCCCACACTTTCTCTTGTTCCCTCTGCCTCATGACTGACCCTGGTGCCTCCTTGTGTGTGGCCCCTCTGGTGTAATACGTCAGCTCCCCTTGGAATCTGTGAGCATACTAAGCTTTCTTTTCAATGGCAATTGTTTTTTTTGATTCTTTGGACTTGTCATATCTGAATAATAATAAAACTTACATTTAAAAAATACCAAGTCATGAACCTGGAGTTCTCATCTCCATAGAGAAAGTACTTCTCTCTAATTCACCTACATAGAGCAGACACCTGTTGTTGTTGTTTTAAAGATTTATTTATTTATTTGAGAAAGAGGGAGAGAGACAGAATGAGGAGAGGTGCAGAGGGCGAGGGAGAGAATTTCCAGCAGACTCCGTGTTGAGTGAGAAGCCTGATGCGGGGCTCGATCTCATGATTCTGAGATCATGACCTGAGCTGAAACCAAGAGTCAGATGCTCAACCGACTGAGCCACCCAGGCAGCTCAGGGCAAGCACCTGTTCTAATGTGCATAAAGTGTCTCTGAAGATAATATACTGTGTAGGTCATACCCACAGAAAACCATATGTTTGGAAATTATAAACAAAACTTCTTTGAATCGGGCCACTGCTTTTGAGGCCTTCTCTGATGACACTTGAGTATCACCAGTGCCTCTTGATTTAGTGGTCTCTTTAGAATTCAAGCCAAATGGTGGTGAAGTGTGCAGGGAGATGGGACTCCTGCAGAACCGTGTCAGGCCACAGCCACTGTATGTTGTAATGCAGCCTATGTGTTTCAGACTCATTGTCTTCTGAATGGTTTCAACTCTGAGGAAATCCTGGGAAAATATTTGTACCTCTTTTTGCATACGCCCTTCTCCAAATTTTCTCCCCCTGTGAGTACCTTGCATCATCTCTGACCTGCTTCAACTTCCTTTGGATATTCTTACTCTGTCCCATTACCTTCTCTACCACCTTTAACCACTTTGCAATTAGTCACATTTAAATTTCTAGGATGAGATCTTAGCATCTTGAAATGCTTTGCAGTCTGTTAGGAGTAGGATTTTCAAAAATTGCTATCAATCTTCCTCTGCAGCAGCTTCCTGGCCTGGCTGCTGGATGTGTGTGGGGGGGAATCAGTACTTTGTGGGCTCAGATGGGCCCAACTCTGTTCCTGATGATTCCCCCCCCCACCCACCCCCCCTGCCTCTTAGTCAGGTCTACCTCACTCATTCTGGTTTGGGGACTTTTCCTTTAAATTGGGTGCCTCTGGGGTGACTGTGACATTATGACAGGGAGATCTTATCTCCCAGTTAATACCCAGGTGTGGCTGGATCATGAATCTTCCCTTCCTTGGTCCCCTTCCCTAACTTCCTGAAGGCCAGGCTTTCTCCGTAGCAGCTGGGAAATTTCCTAGCACACAGGCTCTTTTCTTTTCTTCTGTAATGAAGATGGATCGAGCCCCTCATTTCTGTAGCTGATCACAGCTTTTCTGCTATAACACGGCCATTTCCTTCCCCAACCTTCCACTCTAACTTCTCGTGTGTTTGGCCCTTTTCTTGGGATTATCCTTCAACAGCTATAGGGGGCTGTCTTTACCTTTCCTTCTGGTATTAAATAGTGGTGGCCACCTACTAAAAATCTGACCATATAATAAATCAAATGATTACTGACTTGAGTGAAGTTTGCATAAAGGTGACTGGTCTACCTTGTCAGGGAAGCTCCCCAGCAATGGATCCGATCAGTGGATTCATCCTGATTAGTGGGATTCATATCTGTAGTAAGGTCTAGACACCCTGCTCCTTGGGACAGAGCTACTCACCTAAATATATGGTTTCCTTTAAGTATACATTGCCCCTGGCAGGCCTGTGTTGGCACCTGCTACAACTGGCCAGTAAGCACTAAGATCCTGCAGGTAGATCCTGGCGAGGAGCCACAATATTTTGCCACTGGCATCAGAGAGGTACTGGGAGCACAGGTTCCATTCTAGAAGCCTGCAGGAGCTTAAGCTTCAGACTCAGATTGAAAGTAACAGACATTCATTGCAGACTACACGAATTC